AATATAATTACAACTAATAATTATTAAATACAATAAAAATTATAGGCAAACAAATGAGAAATAACTATTAATATAAGATAAAAAATTTATTACAAAATAAAATAAAATAATTATTATAAAATTATTATTATAAAATAAAATTAATTGCTTAGAACTGCGTTTTTAATACATATACTTTTTGTATTGTCCCGTTTCATCATGAATGTATGACATGATATCCCAATTATACATTTAATAGAAAATACAAAATAAATGTTAAATTATTACTGTAATGTAGTAGATGAGATAAGATGCGCAAAAACTTGCACCTTATCTTCTATTACAAAAACAATATTAATTAAAACATTTTTATTAAAAAGTTAAAAAGTTACTATTGCATCGCGAAAATTATAATGATCGATGCTTTTCGATATAATTTAATCCATACCACCTACATAAAGAGTATGGGTAATGAAGTAACAGTCGTATTGTATCAGCAGTATTAATTTAAACATTCTAAATTATGTTAAACAATCGACAATCTATGGTGCTCCGATTTCTTATATAAAATTGACATTTTATATATAATTACATATATAATATATCCATTATATAACATTTTTTCCAAATAAAGCATACTCATGTAAGTTAATAACACTATAAATTTTATATATGATTATTTATACAATATAATATTATATAAAAAAATCTAGCAATTTAATGAGGACTATATGGTGTAGGAAATCAATAGTCATTCTTTACATGTAAATTAAAATCAACTAAATGTAATATGTTGTAATAACTTTTATGTATAAATAAGAAACACATCTTTTGATGAAATGTACACATATTTTATTAACTATTATTATCTTTAAACATTAGACTGAAGAGGATTCAAATTGAGGATCGAAACGATTGCGATGTTGCGATATAGTCTAATAATTTTTATTGAATAAAATTTATATAATATACATAGTATAAAATCTTGTGTCGGTACATTATTACAATTAATGATTATTACAATTAATGATTTAATTTAACATAATGTGATTATTTAAATAGTTTGTGTTCAATATTTCTTAATGTTAAAATAGTATAATTTATGAATAAGTGAACAAGTAACATAAAAATGTGTTTTAAAACATAAATTCTAAGATAAATGAAGATAAATGAAAAAATATATATATATATATGTTATATATATATGTTATATATATATGTTAATTTAGCATATCATAAATGTTAATTTTATTGAAAAAAATATGTTCCCACAGTGTGTTTTCAAACTGAATCAGTATTATCTTTTTTATTTTGTTTATTTTCTTAAATAATATTTGCATTACCTTCTAACATATTCATCTTATGTTAAATTAACACATAAATTTGAATGGACATTTGGGACATGTGAAATGTGTAAACACCTTTATCTTCTTTCGGGGTACTCGAGGTACTCTTATCTCATATATATTTTGTAAAATTTGAATTAATTTATCAAGTCAATAGTGAGATTTTGTGGTAAATTCTCAAAATATTTAACATTAAGATATTCTAGTGAATTTTTCTTTAAATATACTGTTATCAACGGCAACGTATTCGTCAGTGACAAAGACTCTAACGACGTGAATTTATTATCGCTTAAATCCAAATATTTTAAAGATACAAGGGATTCTGTCCATCCTTCCGGTAAAGAACTTAACATATTCTTCGACAAATCTAATTCTTCTAGGAAAGTAAGATGAACGAACGTATTAACATCTATTTTATCAATATGATTCTTTCTCATTAACAATTTCATCAATTTCGGCATATGCATAAAAGTATGCGAAGTTATATTTTTTATGTTATTGTTATTAATGTATAAAGTACTAAGTTCTGTTTCATTTATTGAGATTTGCAGAACATCGAGTTGGTTGATGCTTAAATCGATTGTTTTTAAATACTGCAAATTTGCAAATGTTTTCGGATGTAGATGACGTATGCGATTTGAGGATAAGTTTAAAAAAAGCAATTCGTTATTGTTTTGGAAAGCATCTGATTCGATAGTATTAATCTCGTTTCCAGAAATAGAAAGATAATGTAGATTCTTCAGATCAGCCATCGATAAACCACCATACCCATTATTGTACTGTCGAATATTGTTAAACTTATTTTTATCCAAATTCAGTGCGAACAATTTGTTTCCTTTTTCCTTTAAGTTCAAGTTACTAAGCGAATTGCTATGAAGATCAAGAAAATATAAGCTATTCGGCAGTAGTCGTACAAAATTGGTACTTGTTATCCTGTTCTCCGAGAGATCCAAGATCTTTAACTTGGGGAGTGGCATCCAGCCTTGTGAAGCTTGTGAAGTTATCGGCGTCGTATAAGCAAAATGGTATTCCCTAAATGAAGTTTCTTGTGCAAACTCTAAATCGACGGCATAATTTTCACGTAGAGACAAAATTTCTAAGTTAGGGTATTCACCGAAAATCTGTATAGATGAACTATAATAGTTGTATCCGCTTACATTATTCACAATAAGCACTTGTAACTTATCGTGACTTCCAAAGTTAAGAATTAGTCGATTTCCGTTGTTCAATCTATTATTCGAAAGAAACAATTGAGTTAAATTTGGTAATTTTTTGAAGGCACCTTTCCCAATTTTTCCAATACTATTGTCCATAAAATTAAGGCAAGTAATCACAGAGCTGCTGATGAAATTCTCATTGATTTCAGAGACCACTGCATTCGAGAAGTTTAGAGACGCATCATCATTACATAGAGATTGAAATGATCGATCATCTATATAATTTTCTGTGGCAAAGTTAACATTTGCTCTTGATGATGTAAACCAGCAAACAAAAGTAATGATTATGAAGACAAACTTAACGATTGTCAATTTCTGTAATAAATATAGAAAACATTTGTGGATTATTAACATTTAGGATTATAAAAAGATGATTTGTGATTTAATGTAATAAAATAAATACAAAGTCTTATAAGATAATGTGACTACACAATAAATTGGAAATAAAAGGCCCTAATATGATCAAACTGGATCTTTAGTGTTAAAATAATTCTATATTTAAAAATATGCTCGCAGGAATGCATGAAATCTTTGGATTTGATCTCTGGCTAATATTTTTCGCAATATAAAATTATTTATTTTTATTATAGGTTTTAGATCAATCTAAGATATCTTACATCAATATAATTAAATTGCTTGTCAATTTAATCGATGATATTACTACTGTAGTTCTGTTAATTGTGTTTCAAAACTGAAAAATTGATAAATTTGGCGTGCAATTCGAAAAATTGGATATACACATATGTAGTATATAAATTCATAGAATTCTTTCAGCATTAAAGATGCAACTTAATCATTTAGAACTTTTATTTCCAATAACAAATAAAATTAAAATTGTAATAAATTAAAAATTAAACTAATTAAAAATTCTCAATAAAAAAATAAATATAAAACAAAATTATAACTAAAACAATAAAATTAAGAAAAATTCACAGACAATTAATATAATGAACATCGTTTAATGTCGATGAGTCAAAACATAATTTACTGTTATTATATTAATTTGTCAAAATTTATTGATGGATTTTATATTATTGTATAATTGTATTAACGAGTAAGTATAGGGTGTCTTTGCTGAGCAACAGAGACATTTCCTATGGAATTAAACACAGAGGAGACTTTCACTCAACAAGTGATGGGCTTGCGTATGTTGTTTTGTGGAAACACAGATTCACTAACTAACTGCAATCTTAATGATAATCAAGGCTTATGATGATTATTTTTCACCGCTGAGGATGGTTCCAATATAGAATCGAATGTTCGGAAACTTTGTATTTGATTGATTACATTATATGGATGTTTAATTAATTATTAATATGTTTGAATTTTATACGCACCAATTACCGCGTGGACTCTAAATTGTCTGTGAATTTTTCTTATTTTTATTGTTTTGGTTATTCTAAATCACAAAAGTCTTTAGTTCAACTATTCGTTATTGTTTTTTAAAATTATAACTGTATAATTTATGTAATAAAAATAATTATAATAATTGAAAACAGTTCTATAATTATAAATTTCATAGATGTAGATTTTCTTTCTATGAGATATATATCGTAGTTTCTTCTAAATTATTAATACTGATAATTTAAACTAATAATTATATAAAAATGTTGCCTACCATTTTTTATAATATTGTCTTCGAAAGATGCAAACTTTAAGCTATTTCTGGTGTACCTTCTACAAGGACTGTATTTGAATTCTGCAACGAACATATAACTGTAACTGAGATCTGCCATCATGAATCGCGAGCAAAGTGTGGGGATAAACCTGATACAATTCAGCTATAGGAATAAAAAAATGATATACGTATATACTTTAGACTCAATGGCGTAACTTCAAAATTTGAAGAGGATCCTGTTTGTTTACTGATCGTTTGCCTACATCATTTTTGCTAACAGTTCGTTTGTGCAAAAATGATTGCCTACAATATGAATGAATAAGATTCTAGGATACTCAAGTACATCAGGAAAAAAAGTGTATATAGTTAGGGTTAAGTTTTATCAAGTCATTTTTGATAAATTTTTTTGGTACTGTCCGTAAAAATGACATCATGTTAAGTTTTTGAAAAATATATCACTATCAATGTTGCTAAAATAGGCGTTTTTATTACTTTTGTGTTAATCATATCTTTCGATATAGAGATCTAGTAAAACTTACAGAACATCAAGGCATATAGTAATGGACAATGTAATTAAAAATAAAATTCTGTTTTAACGGTCCTAATGATCCTTAGACTCAGGGACGCAACCCCCTTTGCTTCCCGGTAGTTACGCCACTGCTTTAGACTTAGAAAGTACAGTAGGTAGCGGAAACGCGATAACATATCTGAATATAAGATATCTGCAAGGGAAGTCATCACAACTGTCCAGAACTGATTTGATTCTCCATGAAATATGTTGTAAAACACGAAAATCTAAGAGACACGTATTTTTTCATACGTGCGCTAACTCATGTTTAAGGGATGAAACATCCATTTGAAAAAAAAACAGTATTTTTCTTTCGAGTCGAATATCGTCAGGAGTATAAGAGAGGAAAAAATTTTCTAAATAAAAGTTATACGATTTCAAGAGTACTTTAAAGTTATAAAGAAAAAAAAATTGTTTTAATTTTTTTATTTAACACCACTCGTAGTTTTCTTAAATTTTTAATCTTTTTTTTTATCAAATTAAAGATTATTTTTTTAGAAATTCAATCATGTGTAATAAAGTTACAATGCGACATATCATTTTCGAGAATTAATTATTAATGCTTCCGTATAAGCTATCTATGCTTAGTATGTGAAAGTAATTGTCGTCGGAACAAGAACATATAAGAAAAGATGTCTTAAGTAAAATTTGTATAGTTTTTTACATATGTATATTTAGATTTTGTAAATATATAATATTTTTAAGATATATATATATACACATAATACATACACACACACACACACACACACACATAC